ATTGAGTCTAATAACAGATTAAATGCCATGTTGAGGCTGTCATTTTTAGCATCTACATGGATGTTAAAATCACCCACAATAATTATTTTATCTGAGCTCAGAACTAAATTAGATAAAAAGTCTGAGAAATCAGAGAGAAACTCTGTGTTAGGCCCAGGTGGACGATAGATGATAACAAGTAAGACTGGTTTCTGAGTTTTACAGCTGGGGTGGACGAGGCGAAGCATCAGGCTTTCAAATGAATTAAAAGTCTTACACTTTCTTATTCTTATATTTTTTATTACAGAAAAAATAGAAACAAACAAGTGAAATTTTTATTTTTAAATGGGGAAAAAAGAGTAAACAGAATAACTTTTTTAAAGAAAGAACACAAACTCTGAAAGAACTTTTCTACACAATCTTCAAATATACGATGCTTTACATCCATTATTGTTAGCAGTAAACGCCCACACAATGGAAGACATTTCAGGATTACAAGATGAATTTGAGTCTTACAGCAAATATTTCACTGATTCATCCACAGACAGTTTCATTATGTGGACTGAACCTTTTACTGTAACGTTCACACTTAAAATCTAGAATATAATTAAAGCATCTTATCCAGTAAAGTAATCCTAGCTCGTGCTGAATAAAAGCAGAAATTATCTTGGAAACAGAACTTTTCAAATTAAGAGCTTACATGTAAATGCAAGAAAATAGTGAAACATTACATATTTTACAGATTTCTGCCCTAAATTTCCCACAGAAAAAGTTTCTCTATTTTCAAACAAAGTTTCACTGCAAATGAATATTTAAGGCACAATAAAACATTAAATGTATTTACACAGAGAGACTTTAGTTTTTGTAATCATCTAGAAGTTCACTCAATTTGGCTGAAAACTCATAAAAGCCATAAGAAAAAAAAGGAGATAATCAGTTTATGCCACGCCCCCATTACACTGATCACACCAGAGTATCTAAAATCATTTAATTCTCATGAACATCTGAGGTCTCGCTGTTTGTAAAGGTCTGATTCATTAAGCCAACTCATAGTGAAAGGGTTAAAGCACCAACCTTCACATTACATTTATGCTTTGTTTAGTATGCAACCATTTTATTTTATGTATTCACTTTAAATATTATGATATTTTAATTATATTTCTCCTACATAAAAACATTATATGCATTAACAGACGTCACACTCTACAACATTTTCTTCCACCTGCCTGGAGATGTTTCCTGCAGAGGCAGCAGGCGTGACTGCTG